CTGGCCATCATAAATAAGCAGAAAATTTTCATTGAAAGCGCCTTTGTTTGTATCGTCAGGTGACTCCATTGCAAACACCCCATTACTAACAGTAAACTGTTAAGTTTTGAAAAAAATGTCCGTTCTAAGCTGTCAGAAGAGTTCTATTAATCCAGAACCAATATGCTTTATGCTTTAGTCCATATCCTACCTAATGTTAACTAAACTACGAAAGTTGCAACACGTATAGATATTCATTCTTCTACGGGGCATTAGCTTTAAAGCATGTTTTTTTTATAACAGGCTGTTAGTAGGATGCATTTGTATTTAAAATGCGCAGAGATATTTCAACACTTTATTTTCGGATTGGAACTGGTAAAAGTCATTATCCGCTTTAATGTGGTATTACTTCCGTCGCCTAGTTTATGGTACCCACTCTTTTCGGCGCCTTCTTTAAAACACGCTGGGAGGCTGCCCAGACGGTCATGCAAGCGGCCATGGCGAAAGATCTACAACCGGGTGGCTACTACGATGACTGTAAACTGCTGCAACCCAATGCCGAAGCTCTCAATGAGACAATCGTGAACACGTTTCAGAAGGAAACCACTACAGTTATAAACAAGATTCTGAAGAAGAAGTAGGATTCCATTGACCCCTACCTAACCTATCATCAGATCCCGGTGCCAATCACCTCTTCTTACGGGAATGCTTGTCGCTTCTCTTGCTTGTAGTTTTTACTAATTTTAAACACCCCAAGCTTGTATAGAGTATTATTAAGAAGAATGAATAAAAGTCATCGAATGCAGGCAAACAGTAAAAAATATTTATCACGGTTAACATCTGCAAGCATTCGATTCCGTCCTGTTGTTTGACTTATTGCCAGTAACAAGGAGGAAGTTGCAGCATATCTTTTAATCTACCGAAAGCTCAGATATGCAGAAAAGGTTGCTTGCCTCCTTCTTCCTTGCAGGACATTTCTGCCTGCTTCGCTAAATTGTCAAAGGCATTTAAAATAAAACAGGGAAATTTCGCAGCAGCAGAATAAAATATGAACATAGCGAGTTGGAAAATGGCGAAGTAGTTGTTAGGGATACAATTGATTCCACTACGCTTGTCGCTGAGTAGTTGTCATTCTAGGTAGAGTTAATCTAGAGAGGATTGAGTGCATTAATATTGCATTTCCTTTTCGGGCTACGCGACAGATGCCGTCAGCCCTTTTTACGGTTTGGACTGGAAACACTGGGATTTAACCATTGGTGAAGAAATAACTGATTTAAAAAGGGACCAGAAATTGTCAAAGAGATGTGCGGCTAGACTGACAGATAGGCAATTAAATTCAGCACTGGTTCTGAAAAGCACACTTTGCACAGCTATTTGTACTGGTTGACGTGTATTCCTTACGTTGTTTAGAAGATAATATTACCGGAAGTTAACTTATAAATTAGTAAAGTTTGTTCCTCAAAATTATGATAAGTGATTGTGTCATTCGACGTGCATTTTCCATTAGAAGCTGGTAGGTTAAAAGTAACCATTTACGTCCTTGTTTCTGTTGAATTTGGTCCAGTTCATTCGAACATTTTCTTTCATACTTTGCACATGAATGCGTTATTTGTATATGCTTTTTTCTGCGCATAGCCCTCTGCAGTTATATTCATATGAGGAACCTCTTCTGCCGACCAAACTGTACGCTTCAGAGATTTTCCTGACCTCGAGAACTATCAGATACTCGTTCTCTTCGTAACCAGTCTTTTCGTTGGTCCTTGCTACTAGCGGTCCGCTGGTGGTTAGACAGTGAAACATCTGATACACACGGGCTGCAAGCCTTTTATGTACACCGGACGCCTACAGAACACGAATGCCCAGAAAGGCCTCCACGTGTGAAGGACTAGTTTCGTACTTCCGTTGATGCACTAGACAAAGGTGGGGAGGATCCTCCTGCCTATGCCACCTGACGAAATATTCGTCAGCAATACTCCTTGGGTATAAGGGAGGCCATGATCGAAAAAATATGGAGAACTTTTATGGGGGTGCGAACGACTGAAATCATCTTCTCCGCGTATTACTACTGATAGTATCTCCCTATCTCTCATGACAGAAGTTTCAACGAAAACGATTGAAATTACTTTATAAGTACTGCAGAGAACAAACTTACAAGAGATGGTCAAAGCTAGACAGTTTTGACCAACAAGATGGCATTATAGTGTCTATTATGAGAATGTCTAGTATATCTGAAATTAAAATCCGTCAGTCAGCATAAAATATCCTAGAGTCGTGGATATTTGCAGACCAAAAACTGTCTCCAGAGTAAAGAGGGCCAACGTCAGCTAGGCTGAACCAGCCTAAATTGGAAAGTGCCTATGCAGAGGCCAAGGCTATACAGCAAGATGTTAAACGGTTAACTAAAAAGAAAGCTGAACGTAAATCTAAAACATGACAGCAGTGAAAATTATTGCATGAGTGAACAGTTAATCTATCAGATAGGGTGCTAGTGGGCGAACCGACTATGGATACCACCAATGGGACGGAGGGTGAGACGGGAAGAGGAGGTTAAAGTCCACAAAGAACATAATTGCAGGTGACCAACTCTGTAGGTTGAGTAGCAACTAGACAAAGAGGGATGTTGTCCTATAAGATAGAAATTTTTAGAAGACAAATCCACAAATCCATGTACATACAAACTTATAACAAAACAATGAGCAGAAAAAAGTAAACTTAAGCTCTGGAGAAAGCTTTTTGTAAAATCCAAATCAGAGTGTTGGGGAAGGCAGAAGCGCATACGGCACACACAATAATTCTCTGGTTGGTTGCCGAGGTAACTGTAGCTGGCGTCCTACTCGATACGCCTGTTGATGCATGCCTCGTCTGAGTGCATTGCTTCCATTTGTCCTAGGTGGCCATGCACACAATGGAAACCGGCATTTTAGCAATTTAGCTTCTCCTTAAAAACCTCAGAGGAAGCGGACCTAATAACATTCAGAGCAAAAGCATTCGAAGCTCCGACTTTCGCGTGCCCAGTGTGGTCCTACTTACACCTTGTTTAAAAGGATGACTTCTTAAGTTCGACGTTGCTACTAACTAGAAGAAGTCACCAGATAGAAGACAGAAGTCCTGACCGCGCATGATGCGAAATGTTTGTGTCCGGTCACCACGTAGCTGCCTGTAAGTCAAAGGAAATATATCAAGATAAGACATGCATGTTTCATAGGATAATGAGCCCTGTCCGGTTTCCAGTTTTGTTGCACGCCTTTGAACCTTTCCGGTGGTATCGAGGTGTTTCGCGATCCAGGGCCTCCAGGTTTGGGTAGCGAACACCAGTTTCGGCCGCATGAATTTTTCAAAGACCTTAAAAAAGCAGTCTTTATGAAAGACAGAGAAAGCCCATTGGACAAGATACAGAACAGACGTCGCAGATTTGGTTACTTTTGCACAATGCGGCAAGGGCTTAACTAACGTTGTGATCCACATTCCCCAATCTTTCTGCACGTCCACTTCTTGCAATTGGATACCATTCAGGCAGTAAACCATGGGATTCTGAGAGCAGGGTCGGTCAACTCGTAGAATACTTCATTTGTTCTCATTAAACGGCAAAAGCCAGTCCTTCGACAAAGTTTGAATTCGGTTTAGGTTTCTCTGCAAATGCTCTTCGTCAGCGTAATTTCTGATGACGCTCCAAATCTTACTTTCATCAGCAAAGATAGCGAGATTAACATCCAGTTTACGGATGCAGTCGTCGTGGTACATAATGAACAGTGCTGGGCCTTAGGGAACGTCGCTCTCAACCGCAATCAAAGCTGACTGCGGGTCACCGAGATGGACATTTTGGGAGTGGCCATGTAGGAAGATTCGATTCCGACCCAGGCACTTTAACACCTATTCGGTTGAGTTTGTGTAGGAGTCGTTGATTTTGGACACTATCCAAAGCCTTCTTGAAGTCAATATATTAGACAGGAAGCGGATTTTTCTTCATCAACTGCCCGGATCCAAAGTTCTAAGCAATAAATCAAGTTCTTTACGCAGGATCTGCTTCTACGGAATCCATGCTGCGCATATGATAGAAGGCTGTGCTATTCTATGTAGCACATGAGCACTCGATAAACAACTTTTCCTTAATTTTTCGGCAAATCGAAGAAAGGCTGGTCTATAATTTTTTGCGTAATGCTTTCTGCCGCATGTATATAACGGCGTGATCCGTGCAGATCTCCAATCGGCGGGTAGACACGGGGTGTGAAAAAACATAAATGGCGGTTTGGCTACTTCCGCAGAAAGCTCGTTCGATAACTCTGGCGGAATATCAACGGAACCAAGAGATTTCGATTCATTAAGCACCAAAGACTCCTGACAAACAGTCGCTTCGGCGAACGATAAAAAAAATCAATCTCTGGGCCGTCATCCAAGAGAGTTAAGTTTTGTTAAATGACGGGTTGGCAAAAGCAGTTGAGCTTTCTATTGATGACACGTTGACTATAGTTGCATAGACACAGTAGCAAATTTTAAACAATGCTCGCATATGAGATTGCAGCGAACAGTGTGCAGACAGCACTAAGTGGAAAATAGTAAATATAGAAGGCGACTCATTCATCAAGAGTAGAATAAGTGCAAAAGTAAAGTTATTCGGCTTATTGACGATGCCTAATGACAAGAGCCAGTAGTTGGAATAAAAGCAAAAGGATCACAAATGGAAAAATCTTCGTGCATTTCACTGCAAATATGGAACACTCTCTATACACCACATCCGATTTTACGCTGCTGAGAGTGTACTTAAAATGCACTCCTACTTCACTCATCAAATTCAATCGGAGTCGTAACAGGTGAGTTCTTCTAATTAGATACCTCAAAGAAATTGTGAGGGCTTCAAGTTAAACTAAATGTGCATTAGTCTATGGTGGTCATACGGAAATTGGTCTTCTTTAACAGAC